CTCTCTCTCTCTCTCTCTCTCTCTCTCTCTCTCTCTCTCACACACACACACACACACACACACACACACACACACACACACACACAGAGCAAGGGGGCAAAATGCAAAGATGACCTGGGCCACTAGGGGTAAAATGAAAATACAAAGGGCCTGGGAAAAGTTGGCAAGTACAGGGACATTTTGCAAATGTGGATAGTACGGGTAGGGGTATTTTGCAAAGATGACAGGTCTAACGGACGCCAGGGGCATTTCGCAAAACATTTTTTGTGTCAGAGGGGTATTCCGCTCTACCCAGATCTTTTAGGGGCATTTTGGCATATTTCTCAACTTATAGCATTATTTCGCAAACTATCCCAATTTAAAATTGAGAAAAAAAAGAATACAGGTGATTTGAAAAACAAACAAGAAGTAAAGTCTAGGCTACTTGCCCGGCTGTCCAAGTTACATTGACTACAGAGCCGTGCAAGGACCATAGAAGAAAAAAGAAAAAAAAAAAAAAAAAAAAAAACCAAAAAAAAAAAAAAAAAAAAAAAAAAAAACACAAATTCTGAAGGTAAAAGAAAACGATGTTATGCAGAAAAATAAACTGAACAACTTTTACCTCAGGGTCACATCAAAGCTCTTTACAAAATTATAAATGAAATTTTATATTAAAAAACAAACAAACATATTTTGATGAATTTTCGAAATAATTTGTATTTCTTAATTGTTTGGGAAAATTGCATCTGTGACCCATTTAAAGACGGTAAAACCCGCTATACCCATCCCTGGTGCCCAACTTGCATCATTACCCGGAAAATTGTCTGTGCAAATTATTTGTATACCCAGGACGGAGGAGGGCCAAGGTTGGTACCGTGAAATTGCAGTTATACCCAGCTACCGGAATGCTCAAATTATGCACATACCCGGACAAATTATGTGCACACTGCACACCCAATTTCGCCTGCCCAGTTCCTGGGCATAAGCATAATTTTGTGCTCCCCAACCAAGGGCCTGTGGGACTGGGCACGAGTACAAGTTGGCACACAGGAAACGTAGGGTATTACCTACTTAAGTTGGACAGGGTCTGGGTATAGATGCAAGTTTGGGCGCTCAACTGGGTATAGCGGATACTCCCATCTTTTAAAGTGGGGTACAGATGCAATATTCCCTCTTTTTTTTTTTTTGGCCCGGCTGGCCAAGTGGTCCCGGGCCGCTCTGGTAGCCTAGCGTAATGCAGTATTAGTTCAAAACAATTTCAAAACAATTTCAAAACAGAAAGAGGAAAAATTGAAACGAACAGGAAAAGAAAAGGCAGGGAGGGGCAGGGGCACAAAAAACACAAACCTGCTCCGCAATCATAGTGTATCGCATCAGTGCACCCCAGTGATCGCCTTTCTCTTGTGCATCAACTGCACTCTCCATCTCCCTCGACCAACTCCCTCTCTCCGCAATGAAGATCTTCATGTGCCGTGCCGCCTCCGAGTAATTCAGGGGTGTTCCTCTGGAATCAGCGAAGTCAAAGTCAAAGTCAAAGCCAAAGTCAAAGCCAAAGTCAACGCCAAAGTCAAAGTCAAAGTTAACACCCCAAGAGCAGGGAGACTGACGCATGCTCATCTGAAAATGAGCGGTGGACAGGTCCAAGGAACGCCAGTGTGATGAACAGGACTCTAAACAAAATGATACAATGCAATGTAGCGCAGCGGAAGACTCAAAGATATGACCTGACACATCAGATCCAGACTCGACTCACACCATCATCATCACCTCCGTCAGACAGCAAGGACGGGAAACATACACAGACAAAAGGTCCCTCCTTGCGCACACACATGGGAAAGAAACCACGGATAATGAAGGGGGGGGGGCAAGACGAAGATGGAGAGAGGAGAGAGGACAAGAGTAGAACCCTTAGTCATCCAAGAAAGTCTCCCCGTCAATGTCCAGCCAATGTCTGTCCTCAAAAATGTTGAATCAGATCATGGGCGCTCATCAGGCCCGAGTCAGTCAGTGCCTAAAATCTCTCTCTCTCTCTCTCTCTCTCTCTCTCTCTCTCTCTCTCTCTCTCTCTCTCTCTCTCTCTCTCTCTCTCTCTCTCTCTCTAAAAGGGCCTTTACGAATCAGACCTCAAATGGATGCCCCAATGGCAAGGGGCCCTGTCAGCCAGAACTTAACTTCACGAGCAGCAACTCAAAAGACGAAGTTCCTGAGGTAAAAGTCACAACATCCATAATGAAGTGGAAAGTCATTTTGAAAGGTCACAACAGGTCCTGAACGAACAGGTATTGGACACAATTTTCAAGACTGAGTTAGGGTCACGTCTCCTCGATGAAAAGACATGTCTGTTCGGCAATGAGTCAAAGGCTACAGTCCAGTCCAGTCGTAATCCCACGAGTCAGTCCTGATTCAGACCAGGAGTCCAAAAGACAGGCCCGATAGCCCAAAGCAGCAGCAGACCATGGGAAAAGATACTGGGACACACACTTCGCAACAATCGGTCCTGGGCAGGAGTCCCAGGCACATTTGAGGCTGAATGCAGGCCACCCCAGACCAGTCCAGCACTATAAAGGACTGGCCAGCCTCCCATTTGGACAGATGCTCACTTCGCATGAGATGTGTGGAAGCGTCGTGGCACTTGTGCGCTGGATGTGTGTGAGCTGCGCTAGGATGAAGAGCAGCGCTATGTGGGAAGGACAAGAGTGCTGGCTAGAAGGAAGGCAGCCATAGCTGCGCCAGCGCTAGTATATTAGTAGGGATAGTCAGTAGGAGATACCAGTGAGTAGTATTCAGAGTAGATCCTCGTGTGATAGGGAGTGTGCATGCATGATGATTGAGAGTAGACCAGGACTATAGACGTAGAGGGAGAGAGAAGAAGGCAGACAAGAGAGGGGGAAATGTGAGCTATGGTGGCACTTACCTGTTGAGCGCTGTTGTTGACATTTGGCAGCTGGCACTGATGAACGCCAGGTTTGGAACTCATGTTGATCGAAAGAAGACTTGTAACTCTGTTCAGCGCTATATACTTTGAGCTCACGATGTTCCCTCTCTAAATCTGGGTTTGATAATTGAGTTGAGCTTCCTGGTTCTCATTCATCTTCTATTGGGTTTTGTGTGAGACTTCGCAATCTTTGGAATCAGTGTAAATGCATGTGATCTGATGCACTCCAGCAAGTGATGTTCAGTCGGGTTCCTTGTCTCTCTCTCTCTCTCTCTCTCTCTCTCTCTCTCTCTCTCTCTCTCTCTCTCTCTCTCTCTCT